AAGTGAATTTATTCGCGCGAATCAAAGAGTCGGCTCGCTTCCCGAGCACTGATTGGTTGCGCATTTTTTCGCTTCTCAAAAACTCCGATAGGAATGTGAATGCGCATGTGCATAAGCCGACGCTTTGGATTCGCGTGAATAAATTCGCCTAGTAGAAAACCAGATTTACGGAAGATCCGCACATAAGACGAACATCCGCACATAAGACGAAACATGAATATAAAAATCTAAAATCTGGATGTCGTGCGTATAAGACGATCCCCTTTTTTCGATCGTAAGTTTGCTATTTTAAGCCTCGTTTATACGTGAGTATAGGCCTATACGGTATTTGTTTTAAAACCCTAGGTCACATGAGCGTTAAAGGATTCCCCATACAGTGGCGGATTCAAGGGGGAAATTTTTCATGGGGAGGACCCCGGACCCCCTTTCATTTTGGATATTTTTGGAAACTTTTTGAACCCCCCTCTTCCAAATCATGGATCCGCCCCTGAATCATGTACCTTTGTTTGCACTAAACACTTAATCTATGTTCCCCCTTTAGCTGATGTGAGGTAATAAGAGAGTTTATTTAAAAGATAACAGTTACATTAAATAATTTAAATTGTTCGGATGAAATACATATTTTTTATGAAGTTCAATGCAAGTTTGTACCATACTCTGTGTCTTTCTATATGTTCCATTCTAGTGGAGGTTCTATTTTGAATTTTTAAAAAAATATAAATTAAATACTGTACTTAATTGATTTATTATTGCCCACTTCAATTGTATAGCCCTAGGTGCTGCAGTGTTCTTTATGTAGAGCGCCATATATAAATGCTCGCTTATCCGGGTCCGATGGCACCTCCAATTTCAAGCAAGTGTTGCAGAGACTCTGGAGTTAGGTTGCATATGAGAATGAAGAAGATAATTCTGATAGCAACATTGATTTATTGCTTTAAGTACTGCGATAATAACGAGGCGAATTTAGAAAGTTTAGATAAAAAGTATTTATTAAAGTTTTCATAGGTTTGTTTTAACGCCAGTTTGTGTTACCTAACTATGTAACTTAATTCATTCTAATTAAAGAGAGAAACGTGTTGACCAATAACAGGACCTTAAAATGTTTGCTATAGATCGACTACAATGTACGTTAATATACATTTAAATCAATTTAGATCAATCTTAATGATGTGATTTTAAATAGCAGAAGCGGATTTAGGGTGGGGGAGGGGGTGGAGAGTGGTGCAAAAAAAAAAGAATAAAAGAAAAATTGATCGCCCAAACACATAAGGTTATTTTCGGGCGTCAGCAACTAAAGAACATAGGGGCTAGGCTATTTAATATTATGATGTAGCTGGGCATGTATTTTATGGTGATAGATTACTTAAAAGAAGTTTAACATTATTCTGTGTATATTATTTGAATTTCTTCAATTTCAAACGAACGGCCCCTGATTTTCCTGTAATTTTTGCAGTATTTCAAATGAATATGTACCCACATAACTGTCTTCTAATCGGATTAAAATCTGGCCGAATTTTGGCCGATATTGAAAACAAGTTTGGCCGAATTTGGCCGTGAGATGGCGTGTGTTTGGCCGTGAAGCCTGTCGACTATCTGGCAACCCTGATATCAGCCAATCACGTATTCAGTGAGTCAATTGGAGTCACAGTATACCCTACACAAATTTGGGTAGTTGCTAAATACAACGGGTTCAGCCGAGAGGGCATGGCTTCGTATGTTGACGTCTTGCATAATTTCAGTTATAGTTCTTCTTTCAATTAGTTCGTCCTCGACACAGAGTGGGCTTTGTCTGTAATCACACAGCATAGCAAAACACAGTTTTTAGGTAGACGATTGTCAGCTAAGTTGATGACATTGAGGTAACTTTTCAGAACCTAACACATTTGAGACGTGTTTTTTTTTTACTGTCGGAAGTTAGTTTTACGAGGTAATAGCCTAATTCAACCATGTGTTGTCATCAGTTGCGTAGCGCCTATGCTCTCTGCGGTGGTGCGCAGGGCCCCTACCCATAGGGACTCATACCTAATAATGTCCTAGTTCAGAACCCTGAGTCAAAAGGGCTTTGTTGATTTATAACATCATAATCTCTCTGACTTTGACTGTAGGACATATATCATAATTATACGACGGATTAAAAAGGGTGGGAGCAGCCGTCTCACCCCACCTTTGTCAAAAAAAAAAGAAATGTAAAGATAAAAAGAAATTACATTCACATTTTAAGTCTGTGAGTGCCATTTCCGACCAACGAGAGGTGCCATAATTATAAATGTTTGTCACACGCCAAACTCCCCGTGATATCCCCTCCCCTTTACGTCTAAATAAGTAAGTCAAAACGCAAACGTACGGAACAATTCAATACAATTTATTATGAGTCAAAATTAACCCCCAAAATAACATAAATCAACTCCGACGATTCAATACCCTAACTAAACTCAACCCTGAATCAGCAAATCCTAAGTTGACCCCAAACACCAAGTCCACCCCACATCAAACACATTAACTGAGATAAATTTCCGGCAAAAAAACACAAATAACAACTTACCCCCCACCCCCCTACAACCCAATGTTCCCAATGTTCATCGCTTTTCAACAATCAATGTTACAACAACATATATATTTTACTTGCGGTAAATGCCTCAACTCGCAGTTGTGCAACTCGTTTCTAGCTCTTGTGCCAGGTCTGTTCAATAAAGCCACCGGAGTATAGTGTTCCTTTTCCAATCAGACAGAGAATGTTTGTCGTTCAAAATTCATATTTAAGTTATCAAAAGAGCCCTGAAATACGCATCAATCACATCATATGACATTTACGGATTATGCGTTAACAATTAATTTATAATAATAATAATAATAATAATAATAATAATAATAATAATAATAATAATAATAATAATAATAAGATAGTCAATAATAAGATAAACCAATCTATAAATCGATATACTAAGCAGTATTTATAATGCAACGTAGCGCACATGATAAGCCTTACATTAGTAATTATGTATTTCCAACTTACAGTCTGTACTGTCTCCTCAAAAATAAATAGGCTCGGCTTTCTTAGCCCAAACTACCGTGTATCCCGTATAATTTTCAGCTATCGCTGTTCATAGGGTTATCGTTCATTTAATATCCACTATTTCTAAAAACTGGAGCTAACACTCAAATACTATCATCTTTCATATTTTGTCTGGGCTTATCGCACTCACGAGCCACTCTCAGTGAGTATCTTCACGGATCTGTCACTCCCTGAATTTCAAATTTACCGGCAATCAGCAGCTACGTTCCTACCCAAATTAACAATTAATTGTCATGCAAATTGTCTAAGTTACCATCAACCCTAACCACCCCCCCCCCACCTTACTTAGAGATCAGTACACCCCTAAAGTTCACAATATTATTTCCTGTCAACACAGCGTCCGTGTTGTCATGAAAACAGTATTATAACTGTGGAAGTAAGTAAGTAACTTTATTGCTTCTCTTTTATAACAGAGGCACAACTGTAAAGATGTCCAACAATAACAAAATCAGTAAAACCTTAATTACTGTGTTTATATATAGTAAGAAAATACAGCAGTAGAACGAAATATATATAAATAAGGGTTTACAAAAATAGTAATAGAAATAATAATAAATACTAATACTAATAATATAAGTAAGTAGGTTAATACACACGTACCCCCACACACACACATATATATATATATATATATAATATAAATTAAGATAGCCGTTAACACTGTTAAATTATATATAATAAATCATCAAAGAAAGGTAAATACAGTGTTTTAATAAAGGACATTAATACATCGCGTAGCATAGCTCTCAACGAATGTAGTCCTGTAAATAAATTAATAAAGAAATTGTGTAATAAAATGCCTCTGGCGGGACTCGAACCTGCGACCTCTCGCTGTCAAGGCGAGCGTCATAACCATTAGACCACGGAGGCTTCATGGTTGAACAGATTCAAATACCACCAGATACACTCCATTACACAATATGTACGGCTAGAAACAATATAGGTGCATATAATATAAATTAAGATAGCCGTTAACACTGTTAAATTATATATATATAAATCATCAAAGAAAGGTAAATACAGTGTTTTAATAAAGGACATTAATACATCGCGTAGCATAGCTCTCAACGAATGTAGTCCTGTAAATAAATGAATAAAGAAATTGTGTAATAAAATGCCTCTGGCGGGACTCGAACCTGCGACCTCTCGCTGTCAAGGCGAGCGTCATAAACATTAGACCACGGAGGCTTCATGGTTGAACAGATTCAAATACCACCAGATACACTCCATTACACAATAGGTACGGCTAGAAACATAGAACATAGAAAGACATAGGTACGGCTAGAAACTATATTGAACATGACGAAATGGAGAGCACCTTTTTTTCTTAATGCGCACTACATACTGTCAATCACTATGGCTGCGCAATCTTTTCTATTTTGAAGCTGATACATTTATCTCTCATAAAATATCAAACATTATTAATATTTTCCACCAAGAAATGTTTCGAATTTAATGGAACATTTACATGACATATAAAAGTATAGTATATTTCAACTTCAATTTTCATAAATTGGCCAAAATTCGCAAATTCTAATCAGATATTAACTAGGGTTAACTATTCGAAAACAACTAGGGTTAACTATTCGAAAAATGAATCAAAATCTGAGTATTTTTCAGTTTTACGCTGACTTAGCTATAGTCGAACCAGTCAATCTTTAGACAAAATTATAATGAACACAGAAGTAATTTTAACATAAATATTTTACGGAATCCGTTCCTGAAATATACAAATAATAACATGCCAAAAGCCTAAAAAAATATAATCAGGGGAACATTGTTCATTATAAAGATATTTAATGGGTTAAAATCAAACGTTTTATTGTACAACTGCTCTGCTGGAAGCGTATAAATGCATGTCGTTGGCAAGTTGTTGCTAACGAAA